GAAAAATGAAAGAAAGAAGAAGGTATTTTAAGATATTAGACTGAATTTAGATTCGAGAGTTGTTTTTTGTTTGGATCAGTATATTTTATTCGACACAGACCGATTATGACTTTATAAGGATCTCAAAGCTGAATCGAACAATATTAATCACATTTAACATTAAGAGAATTTATTCCATCAAAATAGTGTAAAAATAAATAGGAAATTGGTGTTGATTGATGTAATTGTATGATCTATGATTCATCATTCCGTAACTTCACACGTTTTGGTGTCAAATATTTTTGTCTTAGCCTTTCTCGACCTCTCACTGGGTAGAGGTGGCAACTCCTCCTCTCCACGTGCCAAAAACAAAAGATGAAATCAAAATCTTTGTTTTCTTTTTCATTTAGTTTATCCATATATATCATTAATGACATTGTTAAATTCATTGTCAACAAAAATCTTCCTTGTGAGATTCATATCAACTTTTATATTATAATATGTTCTCTTTAGATATTTTATATTTAGGTGATATAATACTAATTTATACTATATTAGTAAAATAATTTTTATCTTAAATGTTATTTTTGTAATTAAAAGTTATATTTAAACATATTTTCTGATATGTTTTTAAAGTTTATATTAGTGAAATAATATGAATTTATCATGTCATCTTCCATTAAGTTTCTGTTGAATTATTTATAAATATCTCCTTTTATATACAAGATATATAAATATGAAGTGAATTGAATGTTCCACTTCGATTAAAGATTTTTTTCTTCTTAAATTTATATTTATCGAGAGTAATTTATAGGTTTATCAACAATAATATTTTTAAAATACTAGTATTAAATAAATTATGATTTTTCTTTATATTTGAACTTGTATGAAAGTTTATTTGAACAACATTAAAAAAAATATTACTTTCTAAATAAACTTTGACATATTCACACTTTAAAATTCATTAATCATTTGTCATTATATGAAAGTTATTAAAATAAAAAAAATAAAAAAATACAAAACATAAAAAATCATACCAAACTCATGATAAAAATAATACTTTATGAAATATAAATGAATTTATTATAAAAAAATTAAATAAATATATAGAATAAAACATTAAACTATTCTTTATAAATGAAAACTAAATAGCTTATCGATAAAATGATTTTTATTTATAAAAAATATCATAAATTTTGAATTACATTTTCTTAAAAAAAAAATGTAAACATTGATGTCATCTTATTAATATAAAAATACCATCACCATTATGTAATAAAGAATAGTCATTAGTCAACCAAAGTATTTAAAAAGAACCTTTTTTCCAAACATGTTCCAATACATAATTTATTGACTCCTTAATTTTGACATAAATAAAAATATATTTCTCTTAAAAGATTAAAAAATTATACACATATTTACTTTTTTTTCAAACAACTCCCAGAGATAATCTTTTTTAAAACTTATTTTACAAGCTCTCTGGTAATTTGTTTATGGTTGTAAGTGGGAGGAGATAAAATTACCCGGAAATAAAGAACGTAACCATCCATCTTTCTATTGTTTGGGCTTTTATAGAACGAAAATGAAAAAATAAAAGTTAGTTAAGAGTTTCACCTTTTCCAACCACTCTTGAAAGGAAAAGAGAAAAACGAAGTTATTTAAAAAATAAAATATTCAAATGACGTATTTTTTCATTTCTTTATTTCAAACACTTATGTCATTGGGATATACCTTTCACATTGTACACAACCAAAAGTGAAAACTAAGTATTCTTTTGAATTTTCCTAAACGAAATAAATTGTTACGAGTCATACACAAAACATGTTCCAACCACTTTTGGAAGGGAAAACAGTCTTCGTCCTATTTCTTCTGATTTTTTTAGCCATGAGTCGTATGCAAAACATGTTCCATCCACTTTTAGAAGGAGAAGAGAAAAATGAAACGTATATATTGGTTAAAGGACAAAACTATCTTAATTGTCATTTTTTTGTGCATATTTTTTTTTAAAGAATGAAAGAGGAGAGAATATTTATTTTTGAAGAAAATAACCTAAAAATATTGGTCAGTGAAAAGAAAAGGAAGAGAAGAGAGGATGAAAATGATTTATATTGGCGTAACATGTAGGACAAAAGAAAGAAAGAAAAAGAGAAAATAGAAAGAGATGATTGTTTGTGGAGGTAGTGTGTGTTTTATTTTGTTGGAAGAGAGATAAGAGAAGAGAAGAGAAGAGAAGGTAGTCCCCACCGGAGAGGAGTATGACGCCATGGCAACCGTGTGTGTGAAGATGAAAGGGAAGCTGAGAGCAATGAGTACAAAAATGGTTGAGACATGAATGAACCGCGGAGGAAGCAAAGGGTGTGGAAAGAGACAAATGAGGAGAGAGAGAAAACTCAGCGGTGGGTGCGTATAAAGGTAGAAGTAGTTGTGAACTCGAAAAACGCGAAAAGTGCGATAGAAAGAGAGAGAGGTAAAGAAAAAAAAGTAAGGGGTGGAGGGCGTGCGTTACAAAAAGGAACTATGATGATTCATTATTTTTTGGGTTTCTGTAAGCTTTTCTTAAAAAGTTGTTTGGTGTGTCTGTGGCTAAGCTACCCTCTGTCATATAAAGTTCGGAATCCCAAAAGCTCTTCAATTATTATTATTTTTATTTATTTATTTATTTATTTATATATTCTTTTCCTCACACTTCCATAATCACCATTATCATTAGTCTTATAGCACTCCTTATCATTTCTTATCTTCAATGTCTCCTTTTTATTTTTCTTTCTTAAAACATATTGGGAACGAGTAAGACTTTTAACTTAATTATTTAAAATCTTGTCGTTTTAATTATATAGACTTAATTAATAGAACATTTTACCTTTCATTTAATACATGGAGCGATTCCTGTGATTAAATTATGTTAATGGAACGATTATTGATTCAAGATCTTGTATATTTAATTCGTACCATTAATCGGCCATACACTTTTATGTTTTTATTTCGTAAAGGAAGATGTCCGTACTATAATGCAGAATAACTTTTTGATATGGATACCAATTAATGATCCCATACATGGATACATACATACATATAAGGTGAGAACAATTTTATTTTATTTATGTTTGGGTCTTCACATCCGCATTAAGTAAAATACATACATGGGTTAAAAGAGTGAAAGGATTTGCCAGATGTGGTCGTACTTTCTTAAAACTAAAAGTTTTTAGTCATTTTAATGCGAAATATTAAACAAGGGTTTTTCAAAACAAGGTGAATGTGTTTTTATTTATTTATTAAAGGGACCAATAATTTATCTGAGAGCTAATGATGAAAATAATAGCTTTGGTATTTTATTTTAGTTTTTTGGAAGTTGGTATGTGGGAGGTTAAAAATGAAAAGAAGGTGTAATACGAGGTCGTTTTCTTCTTTAAAGAAGATTGTTATTTATCGGATTGAATGAAGGTCGGTCCATATAAAACCAAGTTGAATTTGTCCACTGAATTTAATGCCAGATATTATTGGGCGGCTGTGGCCTGGGAAGGTTAGGCCTCAACCATTTTCAATGCATTTAATGTGCTCCTCCTCTTCCTCTTTTGTTTTCACAATTTTTCCTTTTAACCACCGATTCATACCAGTAATAATTCATTCGAATTTATCAAACATACTTTATAGTATTCATTTTCTTCACAGTTAAACATAAAAATCGAAAGGTATATGACAGTATTTACATGGGAAGTGAGATTCTAAGTGAATATGTATATATGGTCCATCCATCGGAAAAGCTACATAAGTCATGCAACAACGTGATTCCGAAGTATGGTTTATTGAACCAGAACCTCATGACAGGAGGAAAACTCGTATTAATATCACTTAAATGGCTTGTACTCTCTCATTAACGGGCAATATATTTGAAAAAAGGTAGATTCTTTAAATCTGTGCAGTTACCCAACCAGGAAGACAAGTGACGCGGAATAATTATAATTTCTCTTAAATTTTATTAAGATTCCTGTAGTTAATTGTTTATAAAGGATTAAATGCTTTATAAATATATATATATTTTATTTAACACTTGATTTAAAATAGAAATGTTGAAAAAAATTGGTAATAAGAAATGAGTAGAGTGAGTTTTGTAGTAGTGAGCGATGAGAAAAGTTTAGAATAATAGCGTGTATTAATTAATTAGGATTAGCTTAAGGAATAATAGGTGGATGTGTTTTGATGCGGTAATGGTAACTTGCCAAACGATCACGTAGCCTTGGACTTGAGATAAAGTGAGAGAGAGAGAGAGAGAGAGCGAGAGAGTAATTTAAGTATGAAAAAGGTGAAAGTGGGGAGATACCTTTTGTAGGTGTTGCGTGTGAAAAGCAGAAAATTGGTTGAAAGGCAAAATTGAGGATTGAGACAGCAGCAGTTACTATCACATTTCCTAGGCGCGTAAGGGACCCACTGAACATAGGTGTCCAATGTCTCTTGGGTCGTGTCATCGACCTTCCACTGCATGCGTGGGACTCATGCATACGCTTAATCTCTTTTGTTACAGTTTTAACAAACTAGCAACAAAACAAAAGCAATGAGAGAGAAAAAAGAGAGATAAAAACTAAAAAGGCAGTCAATCCAAACTCCCAAGACCTCACTCCTCACTATCTCTCTCCCATCATCATCATCTTTCTTTTTAGTTTTTACATTTCTCTATCCAATGAGTAGTCCTAGTATTCTTTTACCAGACACGCCTCTCTGTTATAATACATCTTTTAATTAATTACTCTTATTTACTATCTCGTTAACTTTTTTAAATAATAATCTCACTTCTCAGATCAAATAAATACCAAATATATTAGCTGATGATGGAGAATATAATATTGATATCTTTGTGTGTTGTGCAAAAAAGGTGTTTTGGCTTCGTCCATCGTGGAATAACTGATCTGTTGAGTCCGGACAAATTAGCCTTTAAATTGAATTATAAAAAAATGCAGACAAGAAATATTGAAAGGCAAGTGTTTAAATTAATAAACTAATGATTAATAATATTAAAATAGAGAGAGGAAAAAGATGACACAAAAAGGAGAGCAGATTGCTCTGTCCACAAAGCATTTTTTCCAGAAATCCATGCAACCGATAGTACTACTTTCATCCATCCATCAATTCTCCGTTTACTAGAAATTCTCTCTACTTCCGTGTCTTTCTCTTCCCACAATAAAGAAACCGTCTTTTTATTTGTTTATTTATTTATTTTGTCTTCCCTTTTACCTCGATGGTGTGCAGTGGAGGGATAATTAGAATAGAATAATATTCCTGTAGGGAGAGATTAATTAGCTAGGTTGGGTTAGTTGATGAAAAAGGAAGTAGCTTTATATCCACGGCCCTCAACCCTGGCGCATGCATGTATGTATGCATGTTGAGAGATTGGTTATTGTTTGAGATGGAGGGAGATAGAGAATGAGGAGAGAGAAGAGGATGGGGATGTTGTGAAGGAGGAAAGGTGAGGGAGGGGATCTGATATTTCCTTTTGGCGTTGAATTCCCCGAATTCTAAAGAGCCTTTTTAGCGGAGGATAGAAAGTGAGAGAGAGAGATCCCACACAGGAAAGGAAGCTTAAAAGGAAGGATGCGAGAGACAGATAGAGAGAGATAGAGAGAGAGAGAGAGAGAGAGAGAGTAGCTAGTAGGGGTGGGCATCGTATTAGAGTGTTGATTTTGTTTGTGTTTGTAAAAAGCTTGTGTTTGATTGTTTTGCATAACCATCCAGTTGTTCCTTGCAGTCTTGAAAATGTGAATTTGTCTATATTGAAGTGTTCTTATCTTATCTGGCCACACACTAATTTCGTTTTCTCCCTCTACTCAGGGCTCAATAGCCTTAGAACCCAAGTGTAAGTTTCACACACATTACTCTCCTTTTTCTCATACCATAAAGTCAAGCAAACCAAAGTACTCTCCGATACCATTCACATCCATTCTCCATTTCTTCTTCCTTCTCTCCTCCTTCTTCTTCATCACCCTTCTTCCTCCAATTCAATCCAATCCGATCAAATCTCAACCCGACCCAAATCAAATCCTCCCCACTTTTCCTTTCGCTCCAGCCTCACCAACACTGCATAATTCAATTCCACTCGTGAAATGAGAGCCGGACTAAGCACCATCCAGCAAACCCTAACGCCGGAGGCGGCCAGCGTTCTCAATCACTCAATCGCCGAGGCCGGCCGCCGGAACCACGGCCAGACGACGCCTCTCCACGTGGCGGCCACGCTGCTCGCCTCCCCCTCTGGTTTCCTCCGCCAGGCCTGCATAAAATCCCACCCCAATTCCTCTCACCCCCTTCAGTGCAGGGCGCTCGAGCTATGTTTCAGCGTCGCTCTGGAGCGATTGCCCACTTCTCAGAACACCGGTTCCTCCATGGAGCCGCCAATCTCCAATGCCTTGATGGCGGCCCTCAAGCGGGCTCAGGCCCACCAGCGCCGTGGCTACCCGGAGCAGCAGCAGCAGCCTCTCCTCGCCGTCAAAGTCGAGCTCGAACAGCTAATCATATCCATTCTCGACGACCCCAGCGTGAGCAGGGTCATGCGCGAAGCCAGTTTCTCCAGCCCCGCCGTTAAAGCCACCATCGAACAGTCCCTTAACGCCGTCCCCTCCACCGTCAATTCCGGATTGGGATTCCGGCCTAGCGCGGTGGCTCCGTCGAATTCCGCCACCGGCCGGAATTTGTATCTGAACCCGCGTCTGCAGCAGCAACAGCAGCAGCAGGGGAGTGCAGCGCAGCACAGGGGCGATGACGCGAAACGAATTGTGGACATATTGCTGAGGTCCAAGAAGAGGAACCCGATCTTGGTGGGGGAATCGGAGCCCGAGGCTGCGATCAAGGAGGTGATAAAGAAGATTGACAACAAGGAATTGGGAGATGGGGCTTTCTCGAATGCTCACGTGATTCATTTGGAGAAGGAGCTTCCTGCTGATAAGGCGCAGATACCTGCAAGATTGAAGGAGTTGGGGGATTTGATTGAGACGAGGACTGGGAATTCTGGGTCTGGAGGGATTTTCGTTGACTTGGGTGACTTGAAGTGGCTGGTGGAGCAGCCTGCTGGGTTCGCCGTGGGTGGTGGTTTGGGTAACATGCAGCAGGTCACGCTCGCTGAGGCCGGGCGGGCTGCGGTGGCGGAGATGGGGAGGTTGGTCAGCAAGTTCGGTGAAGGTGGGGCTGGTAGACTTTGGTTGTTAGGGACTGCTACTTGCGAGACTTACTTGAGGTGTCAGGTTTATCATCCCACCATGGAAAACGATTGGGATCTTCAGGCAGTGCCAATTACCACCAGAGCCCCTCTCCCTGGGATCTTTCCCAGGTATTTTGTTTTTCTTCTACCACCAATTTAATAATGCATATAATCTTTTGATCCCGAAAGGGCTTTCATCGAATTTCATTCTTTTTTATTTCCGTCTTGCCAAAATCTTATTTCCCTGGTTATTCCATAGCAAGATCAGATTAAATGATTAAGATTAATTTTTCGTGTTTGATGGAATGGAGTTAACACGTTTTCTTTCATGGAGTCGGTTAAACTTGGGATTGTAGTTGGTGAATGAATCTTCTCTGATATGTTAACTCTGTTTTGTTTCTGTTTTTTTTTCGATTTTGATTCACCGGTGGCTTGCTTGAACTCCCTTGCATGACATTTCGAATGCAGAACGTGTGATGTTTCTGTTTCTGTTGACAGTAATATAAGACAGGAGGATTTTTAGCTTTTTGTCTACCTTAGCACTGTTAGCTTGATTAGGCTGTGATCTGGAACATGGTTATTCTGTTCCCAGCATTTGCTATTACCTTGTGGTGTGACCGTTTTACTTACTTGTAAACCAGGCTTGGGACGAATGGTATTCTTGGAAATTCGCTCGAGTCTTTTTCTCCCTTAAAGACCTTGTCAACTACAACGATCTCTCCACTGAGACGTGCCTCTGAGAACGTAGATCCTGCTGCTGTATCAATTTGTTGCCCGCAGTGTATGCAGAACTGCGAGCGAGAAGTAGCAGAAATGTTGAAAGAAACTGAGAAATCAGATACTGGACTCAAATCAGAGGCAGCTAAACCGTCCCTCCCTCTGTGGTTACAGAATGCTAAAACTAATAATGATAACGGCAAAGTAATGGATCAGGCTCAGGTGAATGTGACAAACAATTGCATTGGTTATTTTGTGGGTTTCGTAGAAAATAGTACATGTCTTCTAATCGATATGTTTCTTTTTATTTTAAATAGAGTAATAGCACAGAAGTGAATGTGAAGAAGAGGACTCAAGAAATACAGAAGAAATGGCATGACGCCTGCTTGAGTTTACACCCTAAATTTCATCAGCTAAATGTGAGCACAGAGAGACTTGTTCCAACTCCTTTGTCAATGACTGGCCTATACAATATGAACTTGCTGGCACGCCAATTCCAACCCAAAATACCTTTAAATAAAAATCTCGGAACCTCTTTGCAGTTGAGCTCAAACCCAGTGCCAATCCACACACCAGAGCGTGCAATGAGCCCGCAGCAAAGTCCGGTAAGGACCGACCTGGTCCTTGGGCAAACAAAGCCAGCTGATGCCACTCCAGAAGAAACACACAAAGAAGGCATCAATGATTTCTTGAGCTGCCTCTCGTCTGAGTCACAAGACAAGTTCGATGAATTACAGAGCAAAAAGCTACTTGATGCGGACTCTTTCAAGAAGCTCCTGAAAGGCCTGACAGAAAAGGTCTGGTGGCAGCAGGATGCAGCGTCAGCGGTGGCCACCACAGTGACCCAGTGCAAACTGGGCAATGGAAAAAGACGCTCCAAAGGTGACACGTGGTTACTGTTCGTGGGTCCTGACAGAATTGGCAAGAAGAAAATGGCAGGAGCACTTTCTGAGCTGGTATCGGGGTCCAATCCGATAATAATACCTCTGGCTCAACGCCGTGGGGATGGAGGGGACTCCGATGCCCCTCAACTCCGTGGTAAAACAGCACTCGATCGAATAGCGGAGGCCATCAGAAGGAACCCACTTTCTGTAATCGTGCTTGAGGACATTGATGAAGCCAATATCCTTCTTCGCGGGAGCATAAGAAGAGCCATGGAACAAGGCCGGTTCCCGGATTCTCACGGCCGTGAAGTCAGTCTCGGGAACGTCATGCTTATCCTCACTGCAAATGGGTTGCCAGAGGACCTCAGGTACCTCTCCAATGGGTCTCCACTAGACGAAGAAAAGCTTGAAAATTTAGCAAAGGGAGGGTGGCAACTACGCATATCAGTGGGTAAGAGAGCATCAAAACGAAGACCCAGCTGGCTATCGGATGAAGACAGGTCCTTGAAGCCCCGGAAGGAGGTGAATTCAGGACTATCGTTTGATCTTAATGAAGCTGCTGTTGCTGCAGAGGACGACAGGGGAGATGGGTCACTCAATTCAAGTGATTTCACTGTTGAACATGATGACAACAATCACGATGGAGGAGGGTCTCTCTCAACAGTGCCGCGCGACCTTCTGGATTCTGTGGACGACGCTATTGTCTTCAAGCCCTTGAACTTTGATCTCATTCGCAGGAATTTCGCCACATCCATCGCGAAAAGGTTCTCCACAGTTGTAGGTAATGGGGTGTCAATTGAAGTGCAGGAAGATGCTCTTGACAAGATCACCAGCGGAGTGTGGTTAGGCCAAACCACCATTGATGAATGGATGGAGAAAGTGTTGGTTCCAAGTTTCCACCATCTGAGAAAGAACTTGAATTCAAGTACCCATGACCACGAGTCTTCTTCTATGGTATTTAGGCTTGAAGATGATGGCTACTCCGATCGTCGGGGCTCCCAAGAGTGGCTACCTGCTACTGTGAGAGTGATGGCGGAATAGTCAGTGATCAATGGAGATATCCGTTTTTGTTGGTAATAGAAATGTAAATACAAACTTTGGCAAAGAAAAGTCAAAGGTACCTAGTAGAACCAAGATAAAAAAAAAAAAACCGGTTACAAGGCTTGTCGGGGGTGTCAAATTTTTTTCCCTTAGATAAAGATTAATTAATTTTTGCGTTATAAACTTTATATTGTTTTCTTCTTTTTTTTCTTCTGTAAGAATAGGTATATTTATTAATCAAACTGAGAATTATCATTATATTATATTAATAAAAGAGAGCATTAATTCCTCTTTCCCCCTTTCTTTCTTGTTAAATTTTATAATCTCTTTTTTCTTAATTTTACTAGGAATTATTTGTTATTCAATTAAGTAGTTATTATTATAGTATTGGTTCTGTTGGAATCGTTGAATGGAAAAATGGACTAACCTAATACACAAAATGACAGGAGAAACTTGTCAGCGGTTTAAGTTGACGGAAGGAAATGGAATCTACTTTTAAAAACTTATTTAAATTATTTATAACCTAATACACATCTTAACTTTAAAATTCATCGAATAATTAAAAATTATTTGACCAAACTTTAAAGTAAATAACTCTTTGTTATTTGTTGCGTTTCTTTTATTTTTGTTTACGTATATATTGTAATAGCTGTAGCGGACTATCTGTTTCTATCAGAAAATCAGTGAATTTTTCAGTCTATTTGGTTAAATAAAATATTTATTTTCGGTGAATCTGCGTAGTATTGATCCATTTGAATAAAAAATTAAGTTTTAGTTAAACTGGTTAATCAGTAAAAAACTGAAAAGAGAATCATAAATGATTAAGGAATTTTAAAAAAGTTAATAAAAAATTCCTAATGCAATATTATTTTTATTAAAATAAAAGTATGAAATATTTATGATTTTATTTTGAGAAACTTCTAATGGTTAAAGAATATATTATTTTGTATTATTAGGGGTAGCTAAAGAAAAGAATAAATAAAGTACAAGGAATCCACCCACACCAAGTTGCTGAATGACTATTGATTTGAAGGGAGCGGCATCTGTAGTTTCGGCTCCTTCTCTCTTTCTCACGTAAAAGTCTGAAAATAACACCTGATTCCGCCTCACACCACACCATATATATACTGCGTCCACGTGTCCTTCTATCTCTTCTTTTTCAATCAACAACTTATATATTTTTTAAAAAAATTCACTTTTACATCAAATACCATAACAAAAGCTAGAGAGTTAAATATGAAGTTGTTTAAGCATTATGACACTTGTCGAAAAACAATTGGCAACATGAAAATACTGTTGAACATTATTTTACAATTTTTAAATACTACATAAAAAAGTACCTGTCTATGTTTTTAAACTTCACAGGACATTGAAAGATTCACAAAAGTGAATTAAGTAGTGAGGATGTCAAATGTTTTTTAACTGTCTGTTACCTACAGATGATAATGTAAGTTTTTGATGATGCAAAAACTAGAAGCAGGAAGATTTTGCATAAAGATTAAAATGCAAAGGAGTGATAAAGCATAAAAAGTAGCATTATGCAGATAGATTCCGTGAATAATGATAATAGCAGTGAGTGAGTGAGTGAGAGGTTGTAGAAAGAAAGGTAGCGAAACATGAATAGACAAGTACAGAAAGATGGGGCAGTGGCATGCACCCCATCCCATCATATCTATCACACATGTTTGGGCGCATAGTGACGCCAATGTTTATCTAATTCTGATTTACTACTTACTAACCCTGGTGGCTATTAGTTGCTCAAGGAACTCTGCTGCCAATTATTATTAGTAGCGTAGAAACAGAGCATGTACTACCAAACAGACAACCCTACCGACAAACAAATGAATGTTTTTTTATATTTTTATTTGGCAATATCTATTTAAAAAAAGAAAGTTGATGGTTAAGAATGTATGTTCCTAGCTAGGTATACCGTTATGTGTATGCGTCAATATCAAATTTGTGTTCCATGTTTGAAAAGAAAAGGCCAACCAAACGAAACCAAATATGAAAGAAAGAAAGGCCGGCGATGAGTTGTAATTCAGAAAGGGTGTGTAACAGTGCTAAATGAGATATGTATAAAAAACTAACAGAGCAATGGAATTTATTGAGAAATAAAGCTGTCTCAGTATAAGTAATACGTGGATAGCAATGACAATGACAAATGCAGAAAATAAAACTGTATGAGTCACAGCTGAACCATGATGTATTCCATTCCTGTAAAAGAATAAAGGAAAGGAACTTAGAGAATCATCCACAATGAAATCAGAGAAGAAGAATCTGGAGAAAAATGATTGCAGAAAGAGGGACCATACCACCGACTCCTATTCCTGAATGAAATCCCTCCATTTAGTATTTCCTCTCCTCTCACGTGTCCCTCTACGCACTCCCATGCCTTCATCTTTGTTTGACACGTGGCCACTAGGTGTAACCGTTTCTCCCCCCTTAACACTGTCATGCTTTATGCGCGTGACAGGGTGTAAGGGACGAAGCCTCCTCCTCAAAGTTAAGCTTGTCTTTGAAGAATTTCATTCTTTGCTTCACTTTTCATACTATATTTCTATCGTGTTTGACACTTATTTTAATGTTTTAAAATATAAAATAAATTAAAATACCAATATTTAATATTAATATATTTTTAATATTTATACTGTTGAGTGATAGACAGTATGAAAAAAAAAAAACAGAGAAGGTGAAGTTGTGTTTGAATGGTACGCATACGGAAGGACATTAATTAATGCATGAGTTTATTTATTGGTTGTGGTTTTGGGAAGTTTGACTACGATATTGCGAAAGTGGAAGTGAGGAAAAGAAGAGAAGTATATATACTTGATATTCATTCAATTCCTATTTTGCCTATTTTTGACTCTATCTTCCTTCCACTCTAAGAGTTGTAAACCCTGCATGTGTTCTCATTTATTCCGACTCTCCCCCACTTCCTTTACATCTTTCTGTCTTTTTTTTTTTCACGCCTCTCTCACACTCTCTTCTTCTTCTAATACCCTTTTATCTAATTGCTCCTCATTATGTCTCAATATTTCATGCTTACTCACTTCACTAATGGAAAGTTTGCTTCTGGGAACATTTATGACAACGGTTAAAAGTGATATTTATATCCTGTTATATATATTTTTTATGTGAAATCTCCAACAAAACTATATACAGTTTTATGAGTAAATACTCACTCTCAAATGATAGATAATAACAACATTATTGACCTATTACTTCATCGTCAACGATTATAAGTTAATTTGTTGGTAGCTTTTACCTTGTTATCCAAGTACAAATAGTTTTAGGTAAATATGATAACTTTTACAATATAAAAACGTCATTTTACACACCCAAAATTCACAAATTTTACAATTAAAACAGAGAATTGAAAAATGTAATAAATGATGTCATAGAAATATAGGCAAAGAAATAGTATAACCTTCTCTAGAAGTCAAATCAATACGATTAAATCATAATGTAAACTTTAGAAAAAAATTCTTTTAACACACACTCCTAACCACCTTTAACACTCTCTTAACCACCTTTAACTAAAATTATAAAAATAATTTTATCTAACATTTTTTACAATGATAGTACATAGTATACGGAATTTAAATTTATATTTAATTTATTAATTAATTGTAAGAATAAAAAGACCTAGAAGGTTTTATAATACTTTTTTTTTTTCGTTCTAAACTTGTATACTAATTTTCCTATGCGACTTATTCCTACATAAGACTCGCATATGACGATGATTTTACTATAAAGAACCCAAGATCACGACAAATTTACTTTTAAAAGTAGATATAACCATCATGAAAGTCATATCACCATAATCACCATTAACCGATAATACATAGGACATAAACGAACAACACACATTATTATTATTATTATTATTATTATTATTATTATTATTATTGTTATTATTATTATTATTGTTAAGTGTAATAATATTCATAAACAGTACATGTTTGCCAATAATTCAAACTAAATTATCCTGAGACTATTGTTATGAAAGAAAAAGGTAAGAGAGTAATTTTAATAAGCGTAAATTTGATGTTTAGATTAAAGTTAAAGTATGAGATGAATGACTATATCGATAAAGGAACCAAATGATGGGTTTTCCATATTTGCATGGGACAATCAGATAACAAGTTGGTGAAATGCATTAATACCAACCATTTTAGTCAAGAAAGGATTTCTTCCACTTCTTTGTTTGTTTTCTTGGTCTTGTCTGTACACCCTGGCTGCTTCTAAACCCTAAATGTTTAATTTTAATTACCTCTATTTACCAAGCGAGATGAATTTTGAAATTTAAACTTTTGGCTTAGTTATGACAATTTTTTTTATATATTAATTAAAATGATTTAGACGCTGGTTAAAAATAAAAATTACGAGAATGTACAACAAAATCGTATTAAGTAGTGGGCCTGAATCTTGAATATGGAGCTATATTTAGCACTTAAATACTAAATTTTAGCGCAAATAGTGTTATATTGTAGAAATGTTGTTGGTGGATAAAAAATAAAAAGTTGTGGTAGAAAATAGTTATTTGAAGTTATTGGTGAGAGTGGGATAAGCCCCTTTGATTGATGATAAATATTTGAAAGAGAAAATGGTCATTTTGATGGGTAAGCAGACAAATTTGCATTTAAGTTAAGGAGGGAATGGTTGCATGTGTCCCTATATGTTGTGATGAAACAAAAAGTGGGGTTTGGATCTGAGATGAAATTATGGCGTTTCTTTCGATCACAAATTAATGTGAATCCAAATTCAGAAGAAACAAGAAGCCTTATGTGTGAGAGACATCTGGAAAGAATAATGGTGTGACCCACTTATTTTCTGTCCATTCTCTCTTAATATATTTTCATCATGCTAACAATCACAATTCTTTTTATTTATTTTTATTCTTTATTTGTGATTAAATATCATTTTAAGGATTCAATCAATTGTGTTAATCCTTTTTTAATTATATAAATTGTATTAATGTACTGGTGTAATTTGTAAATGAAGGATTGAAGGCTCCTTCCTTTGCTAAAAAGTATTCATTGTATTATTACAATTACAAAAAAGACAATAATGTTTATATTTCTGAATCAATTCTTTTTATTTTTCAATAATTTCTCGAATGTGTAAAATTTTACACATTGATTAGCCATAGTTATGTTATCACCACTAGTACAAAATGGGCTTTTA